TCGAGAGTAAGAATTAACAATATATGTATATACGTAAACACTTAAATGTAGCTCAGTATTGTTACGTAAAACTGAAATTGCTAGAAATCCTCTTCACATGGCAATAAATATAACCAACGGGATGCGCCAAAGAGAGTATGTATTATTAGTTCGCTATAGTCAGTGTGCTATAAACTTCGGAAGCTATAACTGTGATTGTTATTACGCTTATCAATCGGAAAATTTCAGGCATTTGACCAGGAACCTTTACAAAGTTCGAACATTACAAATCGCTTAACTTCAGTGGATTCTAATTGGACAGTAGTACTGGATACGATAAGTAATACCCAGGTGCACACCCTCAGGGTCCACTTAATATGGATACAAAATTTTAAGTCTATAGGTTATTTCTTCTTGGAGCTAGGACGATCACACTTCTTTCTTATGTGGTTTTTGCTAGCTTGCCTCATAAAAAGATCGATAAGTAATAACACCCAGTTACACATCATCAGGGTCCATTTAGTATGGGTGCAAAATTTCATTTTTCTACGTTCTTTCCTTTTGGAGCTATGTTAGTCACACACACACACATAGACCTACAGATACGCCCTTTTATTATTATAGATTAGCGAATGTACCCGGCTTTTCTTGGGTTATTAGGTTGATTTATTCTGGATGGCTATGTCAGTGTGTCTATTTTGAACCCATTTTAACATAAAAGTATAACATAAATACTTTCGTTGCTCCTTTACAGGATGTGGCCTGTTTATAAAGGTAACCTTCCCTCTGACTTGTCCTCCAAGTTTAAATTTATATAATAAAAAACAAACCTCTAAATTAGAAAACAACAATTATCTTTTTCCAATTTTGTAGTTTGGACATTTCATTTTATACTTTCAGCACATAGCCTCTTAACAACAATAGTAGGCTATAGTTTTATTGCTAAGCAGCATGATATAAAAGCTATTATTCGAACGCATTTTTACGAAAACGCACTGGCTTTTCTATAAATTAGAAGTTGTTCTATTAGGGACCAT